AAAAACATGATTTATGTGCTTTGTTCTAAGTGATCTATTAAATGCAGCCTTGTTTTGTGTTATTTTTGCCAATTTAGGCAAAGTGATTTCAGCTTGCTCTGTCTTGGCTTCTCCTTATCTGATCCCTGTCCTGCCTTTTATTATTCAACAACTGCAGTTACATTGGGGATGTGTGATAAAGCTTATTGAAAATGTAATGCCAGTTTCTTGAAATCAGAGAGCAAAATGTATAATGATTTCATTCATCAAAATAACTTACTTGATTCAAAGACTTTTTACAGAAGGGTAAACGTGTTGTTTTTTTAAGCATTTGAGAAAGAAAGTGTTTGGTATTTCTCGATTAAGAAAGGTGTGATTTCTAAATCAAGTTTTTATAAGAAGGAATACATGAAAAATCTGTTTTTAACACATCAAGGACTGCATTAAAGTTCTTCAGTTTTTAAAACATTCATTTGTACTATAATAAAGGGATTGTATCAGATAAAGTCCAAGGTGCCTTTTGAATTCCCTCAGTTTTACATGGAAGAAAGAAGCAGAAAAAAGATTTACTGGAGGAAAGGCTACATTCATGTAAAGGAGGAAGGATTCTGATCTGTTATTGTTATTATTGTTAGGAAGAAATGTTTTAAATGGGCTAATCTTGTTTGTAAGCTATTTTGAAGATAAATGTGAACTCCAGTAGTGCTGTGAATGAAAGCCTAACTAAGACACATGGGGACTGTGGTTATGTTTGTGTGTAGATAGATACGGAAAGAGAGATCTGTATCTATCTGCTATTATATCTGAGATAGATAGGTACTAGGTTTTATACTTGGTATTAAAGCATCTAGTTCAGGTGTTGCAAAGCAGCCTTTCTCGTTATCATGTTTTCTTAACATGATTGGTGCAGTGTGTACCTGGTGAAGGGAATAGGGCTGGCAGGTATGCTTCATCCTTGAAAAGAAATGATAGAACATGAACTTGAGAGAGACCTAGAAGATCAAGAATGGTAGGGAAAAGTGAGCGTGGGATTGCTTGCTGTATCTTCTCATACAAGCTGTAGGAGCATGAAATGAAACTAGCTAATGGCATGTGCAGAACAAGCAAAGGAGATATTTCTTCAAGCAACGAGCCATGGAACTCACTGCTGCCGGGTGCTGCGGCAGGCGAAACTTGTAGTGGTTGAAAAAGTGACAGGACAAATTCATGTAAGAAAAATTCATTAAGGATTATTAAATACAAAGACTTCATCTCTAGCTCAGAAAGTCTTTGAGCCTTAAATTGCTGGGAGACATATTGGTACCTCCTTGGCATGTTTTGATATTTTTCCTGGCTCATCTGCTGTTGCGCACTTCAGGAGAGAGGGTGCTGGCCTAAAAGGGCCTGTGATCTGAACCAGCTGTTTCTGAGTGTGCTGTGTGTGCCACCAAACCTAATCATTGCGAACTTGTGAAATAACTCAGTCTAGGGTTTCACAAGAGAGGGCTGCTGAATGCGTTCAGCCTGTATCAGCATGTGACTGGTTAGATTTAAGAAGGGCTCAGTGTATGAGGCACTGAAGTCTTTGGCAATCCGTGATGTGTCGGGGTAGCTGTTATCTGTCTTTTTCTCAGTCTTTCTCATAAACCATCCATTAAGCCTGTGGCCAGTTCTGGTCTTTTCTGTGACTTCTCTCCAGTTTATCATCATTTGGCTGCTGTTACTCTCACAGCTGAAAACTGTTTTCTAGCCTTACCTAAGCCCCGTGGAAGGGAGCACACAAAGACCACAACTATGATGGGCCTTGCCATTGTGGGCTGTAGTGTTATGCTGAGCCATTTCTAGGCCTTCTAAACCTAAGTCTCATCAGCTACTTATCAGCCTCTGTCTCTTCCAGCCACTCCTAGCACACTCCTAGGTTAGTCCTCCTGTTCCCATTTTTCTAGTATTTCCTTCAAAGCTCTTCTGTAAGGGGAAATGTCAGGTTGGCCTCAGCTTCTGCCATTGCTCACTGTGCTTACCGTTAAAAAAAAAAAAAAAACAAAAACTTTTTTTTCCCCCCCCATAGAGTGATTGAATAATAGTTAGGAAAGCCTAGAAAAAGAGGAAGGGTGACCAGGAAATGTAAGGAAGACATCTGCCACTGTAGAAGTAAGGAAAGGAGGAGCGCTTAAGTGGGCCTGAGTCTCCATAACCCTCTGGCTACCCCCACAACTCTGACAGCTCCAGGTGCCACATAAACTTTTCAGAACCCCAAAAGTACTGCCTTTCTGAAAGCCATAAATTAACAGTTCCTGTGCCGTATTTAACTGAAAGTCACGATTTCTTCTTATCATGATTGCCAAATCCAAACCTGCTGTGGGCTGGTACAACACCAGGAGAAGGCTTTGGGCCTAATTTAGTTGTCGTGTTAAAAGCAGTGCAGTTCTATATAAGAAGGGTAGATGAAGCTGGTCAGAAAACAGATATGGGCCATACCGTCAGGCAGTGGCTGCCAACAGTAGGTAGCTATGGGCACCCTGGAGTGCAGTGACCCTGCAGTGCTGCATGCACAGTGTGGTGAGGGAGGCACTAGCTGCAGGTTGGGCATGGGAGCGAGCACACAAGTGTGCAAGCGAACTTGGAAAGGGATTGAGTTGGTTCAAAGCTAGTTTGTCACAGACAGAGGTAATGGTGACCGTGTGGCCGGGGGGGGGGGGGGAGTAAGTGTAGAAGCAGCTTGTCATGCTTCATCACCCTCCCTAGCACTATACTCTTTTTATTTTTTGTCATTCAAGTCCCTTTCCATCCCATGGCCTTTCTTATTAGCTACCTCTGCTTAAGTCTCTTCCTCCACCTCCTGAGCACAGGCTGAGCACCCTCTTGGTTGTCTGATTTACAGGCATCATCCTAGTGAGCGCCAGCACCTGGAAGGAGGACCTTGGCAGTATTGAGGACCTGAGGCCTATGGAGACTTCACTGCATACACAGGGTGTGGTGCTGTCTATACTCAATGGAAAGTCAAAGTTAAAATAAAAGCCTGGGATCCTGCCCAGCACATTCCCTGCTGCTTCCTTGGGGGAGGACGTCTGACTGCCGTCCTGCACTGCCTGACTGCCAGATCAATGCAAATACCATGACTTCAGCAATTGCCCTGCACTTTGTAAGCACAGGACAGTCACTGTAATGCTTGCAACATTCTTGAGGTCACTGTTGGGTTTAAGCCAATGGTCTATTTAATGATTGGAGATTTTGTTTTTTCACTGGAACAACGTCAAGGTTTTTCTCATCACTAGCTCATATTTATTCCTTGCACCAGTGACGTGCAGGGTACAGGGAGAAAATGGGTGAGGGTGATAGAGACCAGTCCATGCCCGATACTGACTACAGGGCCCACCTAACCAGTCTTCAGCAGTCTAATCTCACATAAACTCACAACAGAAGCCTGCTGGGAGTATTTTTTCCTGGGGGAAAAGAACAAAATGAGTGCCTCTGTGTGACGGGATGACCTGCTTGAGCCGGGGGGGGGGGGGGGAGCAGAGGTTCTCTCCAGAGGTCCCTTCCAACCGCAACTGTTCTGTGATTCTGTGACCTCCTTCCCCACCTGCAGCATGCACAATCAGTGCCTCCCCCAACCCCAGCTCCCTTCAGCGGGGCTATGTGCATCCCCAGGAGTGAAATGGTATTTCCTAAACACAATAAATAATACTCTGTCTGAGTTAGTTTTTACATATCTGTGTTTTATTTCTTGTTTTGTTTGAAATGACCTGTACCACAAGAATACAATTTATTTAACAGTTTTTTTTTTCTTTTTTTAGGAGCAGATAATAGTTGAGTAAAGTAGATACCGTTTATTTCACTGACTGTCTATAACTCCCTGCATCAGTCTCACAGACTCTCTCTCTCTCTGGCTTCCCCATATATCCCAGCCACAAGAACAACAGAGTGGCCTTTGGCCATATGATTGATTATAGCTTGTGGATACAAAGTGGAAGCTCTTTCTCAGCTCCAATTGGTAAGAAAAGCTCAAGTTACATTCTAGGGTCTTTCTCAAGGAAGTTCCCCTCTAATAGCTGCTTACGCTTTTCTGGTGCAGCATGTTTTATTTTATATGTTTGTAATAATTTAAAAAAAAATGGTGACTTAGCTTATAAAGAGAAAAATAATGCCCCCTTAGCATGAACAATACTGCAAGAGTCTGATTGTTGCAGGGGAGTTTCCTATAGCTTCACAGTTTTGCTGCAAGGTGCAATGCCCAAGTTCCCCCGGAAACCCAGTTCTTGGTGGTATTTTACCCTTTCCTTTAATTGATCCCCATGAAAGTTGTTTTGCATTACAGGTCAGAGAACACTGTTCCCAGAGAATGTGCCCAAAACAGAGGAGCTGGGAAGAATTGCCTTTTGTAGTTGCTGACAGGTATGTGGTTTCTGTTATCTGCACATGCAAATCAGGGGCTAGAACTGCTTTTACTGTAGTTGCTGGATGTGGGCCACATGCTTATTCATTCACTGATGCACTTACCTCTGCAGCTTTGCTTTGCTTTTAGTCACAGAGCCCATTTGTGTCCCAAGGCCTAGACTCCATGATCTTTTGCCCCACATGGAAGGACTCTGACTCTGTGACTCCTATATTATGAATGAATAGCATAAATAGCACTGGTGCCCAGACCCCGTTTTCTATTCCATGTCTCAGGTTCCAAAGCCCCATATATTTTTGTAAGCAATTATGAACATTCAAAAACCTAAACAGTTGCTGAAGCCCCATTTCCTACTTTAAAGTGCACTGAGGGGACTGGACTAAGATAATGTTCTCCTTCTCTACAAGCTTAGCTCACTGGCTAGCTGGCCATCCATGCTCCTCAGTTGTGGCAGCATGACTGTAGTAGTGATGTGCAGCAGATTAGAGTAACTGGGAAGGGAAGAGATGCATGTGATTCCTGCGCTTGCCTGAAGGGCCAAAGAGACCTGACCTGGTTCCCAAATAAAAACGGTACAAGCCTTTTACAGGTTAAAAAAAAAACCCAGTTCTTGGAGACAGTTTGCATGCCTTGCTTAAATAGAGTAATTTATGCTGATTATTGCCTGGTTCAGTTCCTGTCCGATCTCAGAAGAAATACAAATAGGTCTTTCCAGGCCTATTATCTTCAAGCAATGTGGCTACCCAGATGAGCTCCAAGGTTATGCAGTTATAATGGAGAAAGCGGGTCCTTTACTCCATTCTTAGACAATTTACATAAGCTCAGCTCTATGTACTGATTATTTCCACTTATGGAGCAGAGAGGCAGGAAGACCTGGACACTCTTCGTGTCTTTATATTGGTCTGCTAAGGCAAGAGTTGCCTCCATATGATGGCCCTACTCTAACCAGCCAGCACCCACTGTGGGCTAAAAGCTAACTCATCGGTTCGCCTTCATAATCATTTTTTTGCAGCATGTTTGCCTTTCTGTTCTAGAAAGCAGGCCCAAGCCCTGCTTGGCTGGAAGAGTCTCTTTTTGTTTTTTTTTTTCTCTAAACGACGATGAACTTTCCTGCCAGGGCCCAACAGTAATGAGAATGGCTTCTCAAGGTCTTTTCAGTCCAGTTTGCAACTGCTAGCTATCTTTGCACAGCAATGAAGCAGGACAGGGCACAATGTGCTAGGTCTGGGCTAAGTGAGACTCAGTAGGGGCACAACAGTGGTGCAGTGAGGCCAACTTACATGCCATAGCACAGTCCAGCATGTTTATGAAAGTATTTGCGCCACAGCCAGAAAGACTCGCCAGGTTGCCGCACATGGCAAGCTGTCTCTACAGTGCTGGCTTGCATTGTTCTTTGGCCCCTTTCAGTCACAGATGGATACATTGTGAGCACAACCAAAAGCCTCTCACTTTCTCCTCAGCTGCCTCTGGATAGAACTGGGGAAGAAGCACAAGTACCTGTTCAAAACACAAGGCTTCTGCGTGGTTGCGCTTGCTACAAGCACGGGAACAGTCGCAGTTCCCATGTGCCTGCTGGCCCTTTGGTCTCTGTTGGTTTTCTAAGTGCCTGAAGCAAGACTGAATTCTTTTATCAAGTAAGTACAAAAAAATGGGTGAGAATAGCTATGTCTATGTAGTGTAAGGATAACTTGGAGGAGACTGAACTGAACTAGCTCAAGTACCAGACTGGGCTGGCTACAACAGCCAAGAGCTAAGCATCAGCTTGCCCAGCCTCTCAGTTAGCATAGGTTTTGTTCTGTAGCACCAACAGCCCTGCTGTGTGACACATTCTGCTCTGGTAGAAAATAAGCACCCAGCGTCTCCCTGATCACACACTTCAACACTGGTTTGGAAGGCTTCCTGCCTGGCGCGTTACTCATCTGCCACACCACCTTTCTCCTCGGCTGGCCAGGAAGGGATGGAAGTTGGTGGGGAAGGGGAGAACAGAGCCAGTAGTGTATTGCATCTCAAGTGTGATCAGAGCCTCTCGTTCCCCTCTCCTGCCATGACACTGACGACAAAACTGACAATACATTCAGGTTTCATCAGCTTAGGCTGGCTCAGAATTGTGTGACCTAGAAAATAAAATCATTGAATGCCAGCAGCCATTTTTTGTCAGTCACCCAAGTTCCCTGCTGGCTATGGGGAATGCAGCACTTCTGGCTTAGACAGCATATCTAAAGCAGGGCTTGGACACAGCAGGAACCTGATTATGTGAGACGCATAAATAAACATTCCCTTACCTCTATTCCCTCACATCCCACCTCGAAGTCAGGCGTACAGTTTTCTTTCAGAGAGAGAGAGGGACTCTTACCAGGCCCAGGGCTAGTCTATGCTAGCTCACTTGCTGCTGCTGTTGAGGATAATGGGATGCGGCAGGGGAAGGTGGTAGACGGGATACTGGACTGGGGAGGTGCCACACTACCCTCTAAGTTTCTGTCCCTAGGCTGCCAAGAAGAGCGAGCTCTCAGGTTCAGAAGCTGCCCTCCCCCCTCCAAAAAGTAATTCCCCTGATTCCTAACTAGCATTTGGCCATAACCCTATGTCTCTATGGCAGCAAAGAACAATCACGTTAACAGAGTCTAGAAAAGCCCTGGTTGGGGGTATATTTATATTTGGGCAGTGACAGTGCAGACAAAAACCTTGTGTTCTCTGCCACAAGGAACAAGGTGAGTGGGGAATGGCACTCAGCTGAGCTGAAGAGGCAGGTTTGATACACAACGCGATGAAAAGTGTGGAAGAACTGTAGTTAGCACCACATAGGAGAGGATGCAGCAATTATCAAGTCAACCCAGCACTGAAGGATAACATCAGGCTCTTTTCTCTTTCTCTGGCCATCTCGGAAAGGAGACTTGCACTCTCTCAGGGACATACATCCTACCTCTTCAGGGGCCTGTGGGGGCTGTACATGGGAGGGGAGTAGTTAGATGTAATGACACGCTGTACAAAGTCGCATAATATCTTACACAGTTAGGAGCATCTTTCCTGGTAAGAAGCGGGGCTTGTATGTACAAGTGTTAGCTGACGCTAGAGGAGCCTGGGAGGCAGCCGTTTTGATTGGGAGAGGTCCTGTAGAGCTCCTCTTTCAAGGAGCACCTGCCCTATGGTTAGAGAGAGGAAGGTGACAAAAAAAGGACCATGGCTGCTTCCCTTTCTATCTGACCCCTCACAACACCAGCAGATAAAGTGTATATTTACTCTATTCTTCCTCTTCTCCTGCTTCAGTCCCCACTCCCCCTCCAGCGCTGGCGGAGGGAGCTGGGGAACAGGCAGCCTTGGATAGCACTGAAAACATCACTGCTCAGAGGGGCTGAACCCTGATGACTGCCTCCACAAGTGCAAGAGCATATTCTGGTATTTCCCACAGAGAAAACAAACAAAAAAAAAGAGAAACAGGTGACTGATTAAAAGAGTTTTCCCCCCTCCTGTACATGAGATTCTGCAGTCACGCCGACAGATAGACATTAAATAATTCTTCCATAATAAATGATTGGAGATAAAAGCCGGCGGCGGCTGCTGCTGCTGCTGTTTGGATTGCTCCATTGTCTGCATCTTTGTTTCTAGTTTGTTCTCCGGCCGCTGTCGGCTGGCACTGGGGCTGTCAGACCTTTGCCTCTAGCATTTCTAGGAAGAGTTTATGCATGGGAACCTTGCCCTGCAGTTTGATGCTGTAGAAATGCTGCACAGCTTTGGCAGCCGTCTGCCGCAGGAGGGGCAAGGTCAGGAGCAGCTTGCCTGCTCGCCGGGGCTCCTCATTGCGCTGACTCAGCTCGTAGTCCTGCAGGGCTTCATGGAGAAGGTCCTGGAGTTTCTGCACTGCATCCATGTCCTCTATGTGCATGGAGTCTGCAGGGGAGGGAGAAGAGACAGCAAACAGCCAAATCAGATGTGGGGAGGAAATGCTTTAGGGAACTGAAGCTAGAGATGCTTTCTTTTCTGTCTTTCTATATGGAAAAAAACACCTTGCTGGGAGAGTATCAGCCCTGCAAGTTGGTCACAGTAGTGCAGGAACAGTAAGGTTCCCAGGGGGTAGGTGACACTTTGTGCCCTGTGTGCCCGTTTTGCTGACAACCCCAAGACCGTGCAGGGGGGGAGAGGAGGGGTCGGCTTCGGGCCTTTGTGGCTTGCACATTCACTTGCCATCCATGCTCCTGCTGGGGGGAGAATAATTAACACTGCTATAGTGCTTCATCTGTCTAAACTACCTAATTGCCATGCAGCTGCTCAGGGTGTCAGCAAGACAGAAAAGCCCCAGTAGGTCACAACTAGTGTGCCCAGGGGTGTTGCCAGCCCCACCTTTGTGCATATGCCCCTGTTTTCAGAGACCGCCAACAGCTGCTCAGGAAGCATCCTGTTTCAGTCCCTTACAGAAGCCTGCACCTCCTTCAGCTTCTCCTGCAAGGCCTCATGCCTTAGGCGGCCAGTTAGATTTCTACAAGATGCCGGAGGGGCTAACAGGGTCTGTGAGGTTAGCACAGATCCTTGGCGTTGCTCTGAGGCAAAGGTAGCTGGTAGTGACCCAGTCCAGGGCTACAGCAGGATACCTGAGAAGAACACAGACTGCTAAACACCCAGGAGGTTGTGGTGCTAGAGGATAACACTACAGAGCAGAGAGGTTAGCGTAAAGAAGCTAACCAAGTGCACTATCGTTGGAGGTTTATCTCTGTCTTGTTTTGTTGCTCTCTGCTCCTTTCCTACAACCCCAACAGACCTGGAGACGCTGTTACATTCTCCTCATTGTTCAGAGACTTTTAACCAATATTGAAGCCATTGATAAAGATTCCTGCCACAGGTCAATGAATCCAGAAGCTGCAGCAAATGAACACTAGAATAAACATGCATAGGCATAGACACAGAGTTGCACCCGTCTGGCACTGCACCTGGGCTTTGCAGTACAACAGTGGAGTGGCTCAGCCCACATGCATAACAGCATAAATGTGGGGAGATGGGTTCCTGAGTCTGACAGCAGTGAAGGGGAGAGACACCGGCCTAAGTGCCCAAATTTCTCTAGAAATATGTGTCATTTCTATGGTGAGCTCAAGACAAACTAGAGGCTGTGAATTTCATAAGATACGTGTACAGTAAGTGCTATTTACGATGCATGATTTATAAAGGATTATAAGAGTCTGGAAAATATTATGCCTAGCAAGAAAGCTGTTTAAGTTAGAAGGCATGCACTAATTACAGAATATTAAAGAGCTGTATTTCCAGGAAGCCTATTAGGTAAGGATGCATTTGCTTTTTGTATCCTAGAGACCAGGCAAAGAACTTAGAGGAGGGCTGGTAGGTCATCCCAGTGACCTAAGCTAGCCACACAGCTTGATTCAGAGAAGTAGGGAGGGAGACTCATGTTGCCAAATCAGTCTGGCAACTTCCCCCAGCCAGGTAGCACCATCTGGGTGCACCATCCAGGAAAGCCGAATGGGATATGTTTCCTGCCAAGTTGCAGGGGTCATTTTGGAAACAGGAAACAACAAGAGCTGGAACTTGGAGAGAAGTATTCTCCAGTCTTTCTGCTTAGTGTCTATCTGGCCAGGAACACATTGGGGAGTAGTAATTGCAGCCCATCAGAATGATCAGACCTCAGTGGGTGCTGGAAGCACCAGGCAGCCTGTCATGCTCCATATGGAAGTGGCTGCTCTGCTTCTGGGTACTGATGCTGCTGTACAGTAGATAGAGTGCTAAAGCTGTGCCCCTTCTGCTACCTGACTTCTGGAAGGTGAGGAGACCCAACAGCATTAAATAATTAGACATATAGAGGGAGAGGAATTGGGAAATAAAGATCAAGGCCTGCCCTACCACCCCCACTCTATGCTGAAAGGAACTCAAAATTGGCAGCAGACTGCAAAAAATAAAATAACATTGCAGGATTAATTTCCTTGCAATCCATCAGTGAGTTGGTGTCGATGGCATTGATAAACTGTTAATTACAAAATCAATAGCTATGAATTTTTACAGCTGTCAGAGCACTGAGGTGGAGGGAGGCTGCCTGGCCACATCCCTGAGGGTCAAGTGGCCTAGAAGTCAGCTTCATGTCAGGAGCCCTTTTCTGGCACTGGAGTGGAGGCTAGGAGGGAGAACGGACAGGGCTCGCTCCCTCCTTACCTAATGCTTCCCTAGCAGCTTCTGGAAGGAGCAGGGAACTAACAGAGTACAGAATTTGCCACACATCCCCTAGTTAGGTACAGAGCTTGTTCACTCCATCTCAGCACTAAAATGCATTGGGGAGAAAAGGGGAATAAGGTTCAGCCAGTCTGAGATGTCCTAAATTGAACATGTCCAGTATGCTAACCTTGAGGGCTCTTCAAGACACAGGTTGCTCAGTTTGGTGCTCCTCAGAGAAGAGGACTAGGAATTCCTAAAAAGGCTCTGAAGGATAACAGGTGAGGCTGTGGCATCCCTCCTCTGGCAAAAATGGGTGTTCTCACTGTCAGGTCTTGCCTGCTGCTCTGGGCATTAAGAGGTAATTTCTCAGCTCTCTAAAATGCTCTTTGTAAAGAGAGGCTTTGCTTAGATTCCCTTTGTGAATCCCAGCAGGTGTGTCCTTGGTGCATCACACTGAGGACTTAGAGATCAGCCACAGCTCTGGCAAGGTGGCTTCTTCTAAACAGCACTTGGCCTATTGTCAGCTCCTCTAGTGAGGAGTGAGTGAACTCCCATTTCTAATTCCATTTGTTTTATTCCTTTTGATTCCTAGAAACAAAGCATCAATATACACAGAGCTGCATGGAAGAGAGGAAAGTCCCTAGAAGTTGAACTGCATAAGCAATTACACCCAGCAAGGATAAAGGAAATTCAGGAATTTATCACTATGGGAGGCAAGAGGAAGAAGGCAGGTCTGGGCAACACAGGTGTTAATCTAAGCGCTCAGCTTTAAACCATGTCTTTGACCCAAGGGAGCTGAGACGTTACTCAGAGATAGTTTGTGTTCCTACAGTTTTAGGAATCAGCTGTTTGCGTGCAAGCACATACATGCAGGCTCCGCAAGTTTAGTCCATGTTGTAAGTACACAAAGAAAAATAACTTATGTTAAAAGAATGTGAAGGTTAAATTAGAAAAATACAGCTCACCCTGTGTAGCTTCTTTTTGTGCATGTAATCTAAGAGGCTTTAATTACATGAAAAATGAGATCTCATGGTTTACTTTCATATGGCTGAATAAAGACCACAAAGCAGCATTTTTGTGGATTTTGCTCCCAGCTGCACTAGAACAAACCAATGAAGGCAAAGTAGCTTTTCCCATGCAGCTGAGAGCATGCTTTGGCCTGTGCCTCCTCACCCTTACCTTGGTTTCTTTAATCCACAGAGCTGGAAGCAGAACCCCAAAAAAGCTGATGAGTGTTGGTTGTTTTGCTCTGTCGTTGCTTAGTGTTTCTCCACTCCTGATAAAGACTATTCCCATATCGCTTGCCCTGGGCTAAGTCCTAATAGCACAGTGCACAATGTCAGCAGAGGCGCTTCTGCTGCACTGCAAATAACTTGACAGCACTGAGGCTCAGGTACTACAGTGTCTCCACTCATAACATGGACCAGATAAATGTCCTTGTGTGGCACTTCTGCTGTCACCATCACAACCGGTCCCTTAGCACTTCAGCTCTCTGAGGAGCTCTTCTCCCTGTTTAATCCTGTGACCTTCCTGGTAGACAGGAGGCAGGTTCTTTAACAAGAGTTGATTGCATAGTCAAAAGCCACCATCCCACAATCGAGAGAGAGGCTAGCCTTGGCTATCTGCCCATCCTGGTTCAGTGGCAAAGTGAAGGCAGCAATTAGAACTAAGAAAGCAATATCTGAGAAACTGAAAAAGGGAACTAGATAGCAATTTATATGAATCAGAAGTTATGAAGTGTAGAAAATTGATAAGGGAAGCAAAGGACATCAGAGGAAAATCCATGGCTGGAAGGGCTAAGGACAATGAAAAGGAGTTTTATAAATATTTAAGAAATAGAAGAAAAATGTAGGAGGGGACCTCTTTTTGGATGGAGATGTTTGTTATTAATAGCAATGCAGAGGAGACAGAAATCCTCCAGTGAGTATTTCTGTCTTGTGCATAGAGAAAAGGAGCGTGAGGTACCTGTGTTATATGAAGATGATGAAAACTTCTTAGTCTGTTGTTGACGCAAAAAGATGTTAAACATGTTAGGGATAAACTTCACAGAAATCAGCAGGCCTGGATTGAGAGTTCTAAAATGGCTAAGGACTAGCTAGGGCAAATTAATAATTCTTGGTATTTTTAAAAAATTTCAAGATTACTGGAAAATGCATACAGTTTCCTATGTCCTGTCTGATAATTGCCATGCTAGCTTGATGTGAACCAGGGAAAAATCAAGGAAGAAAAATGTAATGTTCAATTAAGACTTAAAATATGGTTTTACAACTAATGCCCGTCAACACAATACTTTGGAATAGAGGTCTTGTCAAACAAACCTGATTTCGTTCTCTGATGAGATTACAAGTTTGGTTGATAAAGTTAACTGCATAGATATAATGGACTTAGGCTTTCATAAGGCACTTGGCTTAGCACCACAGGACATTCTCATTAAAAAATTAGCACTATGCAATATCAATAAAGCACACTTTCAATTGATTAGTAACTGGCTAGATGACAGATCTCAAAGTAGCTACCAGTGGTGAATCATCCCTGAAGGAGGAGTTTTCTGGTGGAAATCCTCAGGGATCAGTAAAAAAACAGATGCTACTGAACATTTTTATCCATGATCTAGGAGTAATTTCTTTTTTTTTTCTTTTTTTAAATTGCTGCTGCTAAGAAGTATGGATGACAAAGAACAACAGATTGGTGTAAAATGACTATAGGGCAGCCTCACAGGGCATTCTGGCCCACTTGGTTACACTTTAAGTAATGCGTGTATAGCCAAGGGATGCAGCTATACAGCAGGAACTGTATTGCATCAATCTGTCAGATGGGATCATAGGACACAGCTCAACGGAGACCCTCAGAACCTGGAGGCTGAACTCAGGCAAACTGAAACTAGGGGTATGGTCCTTTTTTCTTTTTTTTTTTAAAAAACTAGGAGATTATTAGAGTTAGCTACCATGAAAGATGCAGATTCCCCATCTTTTAATGTCTTCAGCTTCACACTGGGTGTGGTGTCTTTCTGGAAGACAGCTTTAGCCAAACAGAGATTATAGGTTCACTGCTGGGTTACAAGGGTGAATTTTGTGGCCTGCACTGTGCAGGTTGGCCAGGAGAGCTGATGTACAGTGAGACTCAAAGGATGTAGAGGGAGCTCTCATCACACAGTAGCTTTAGCAGTTTCCCTTTTGGAAAGGACTCCTGAGCAAATACGTTTCTGGCTGTTGTGCTGCACCAGTGCAGCAAACAGCACCTCTTGTGTCTCCCACAGGCACAGGCTACCAGCCTGCTGGCCTAAGGGCTGTGACCCTCCTCCAAACTGAGATAGAAGGCACTGGACTGAGGGCCCTAGTCTTTCTCACCCTCTTCACAAGAAGGAGCAGAACAGGCAACATCATGGCAAGCTTCTGCCAGAACATCTTATCTCCTACCCATCCAGGTCCACTTTCTGTCTCTCAGTTCTCCCAGTGGGCCTCAATGTCTGTGTTCTCTGAACATCTCCAGGACTAGACCAGGCCACCCCAACCCTACAAATTTTGTAGAGTTTGAAACTGGGACCAGGGTTTCCCTATTTGCTCTAACTGATCAACACTGCTTAACTGGATGCAGACTTGGCTCACATCCCCTCTTCTGAACTTGTGCGACTGGAACTCCCTTGCTAGTGGAGAAGGGCTCCACAGCCTTTGCTTTAGTGCCAGAAGCCAGCAGCCAGCCCATCCCTGCCTGGCCACACTCCCTCATACAGGGCCAGCTTGCTGCTGGGGCTTCAGAGGCAGCAAGCCTCCTTTCTCCTTCCTTTCCAGCCTGGGTCCTGCTCTATGGACTGAGAGAAGCGCTGAAGATGCTGCATGATATGGCCAGAGCACAGTCTCAGGCAATGGGCTGCAGCTTTCTCCCAGACCAGATGACACTGTGGGCCTTGACTCCCTGATCTCAAGGCTGGCTGGGCCAGGGCTGTACCTGAGTTGGCGAGGGCCAGGGCCTTGAGTGTGACAAACTCCTCCTTTTCCACCTTGAGCTTCTTGTAGCGGCGCACCAGTTGCAGGATGGCCAGGTAGAGCTCTAGGAGCCCTGTCAGGCGAGAGTGCTCTTCATCCATAATGTAGTCCTCAGCATAGACCAGCTTGTCCTCATAGGGCAGGGAACGGTACACAATGCCCAAGATGAGGATTTCCATCCAGGCGCTCTGCAGGAGGCTCATCTGGTCCCCAAGGGAGAGATTGGAGAACCCTGATATGGCAAAAGACAAGCAGGTCAAAAGGATGTGCAGCAAAGCCTCTAGGAGCCCTGGAACTTTATTTTTCCCTGGGATTCACCCCAAGCGCCTTCCCCCATTGGTCTATTGCTCTGGAAAAGATTACTAAAGTGGCCTCTATCTCTGTGGCAGTCAGAACATGTGGAATTTTCCCTTTTCTTGCTTCCATGTCCACCCAGAGACTCAAGCACAAGTCCTGATGTTCTAACTTAGTGTTTCTGGTACCCTAAGGTTAGTGATACCCTCTTTTCCTGATCCCTGCTTCTCCTACGGCAGCAATTGCTTTGTACAACATCCGCCTGCCCCTTGGTCCTCCTGTAGTTCTGTACTGCAGCGGTACTGTCCAGTTATACTTTCCTTTCCCAGTGAATCAAAGAGCAGAAAAGAGCTCCAGATGGTAGAAAAGAGGGTTTCTGATGGGATAGGAGAAAAATGACATGGACCTGAACTTCAAGTGTACCTCAGTCTCTCACTTTGGCCAACAAGAGAAAAGGTCCCTCCACAACAGAGCACTGAAAGGTCAAAAACTGAACATGGTTGTGAACACAGTCCTCTTCTATTCACATCACTCTCTGAGCTCAACACCATCAGCTTTCTGCATCTCAGCCAACAACGCTACACAGCGTCAAAAACACCTTTGTGGTGCTATACAAGTGCCTAAGTCACAACCACACCCAGTAACAACAGAACCAGCACCCAGCAATAAGCCATGTCATACTCCCCAATTACAGAAACAATCTACAATCACAGACACTGACAGTCCCAGAGCCCTGTTGGCACTGATGAGAAAGGAGCAAGGCTGAAACATGGAGGCAGTAGCTACCTGGAGGAAAAAAAGCACACGGGAAGGAAAGGTCCTTTACGTCCTTAGAGCCAGGGATCCTAGAAGGACAGCCCATGAAAGATCCTGGGGGGAAAGCCACTGCGCAGTAGCTTTTACAGACAGGGCTGCTAAGCGCGGTTTGTTGGTCCTATCTAGGCAGCTCCTGCCAACCACTGAAAGGCAGGGGCTATGTTTGCTCTCTGGTTGCTCCATGTGTCTAGAGTTTCCCAGATGCTGTGAGAGAATGGGACAGCCAGGCACCCCTCAGCTGGGAGGGCTATGCTTCAGCTGCCTCCCCTTCCAGTTTTCTCCCCAGTGCTTATTAAGCCTCTGGGTTCACCCTTCTTTAGAGGCCTGTGAGCTCATTAGCCTCTGTCCAGGAGCCTCCCAACCCTGCTGTCTGTGTGCTAGGCTCAGCAGGACACCTTTATCCTACAGCCCTCCCTGCTCACAGTTCTGGGCCCCGTGTCATGTCAGGACCTAGGTAGCCAGCCACCATGGTGACCATTTGATTTGTCTTGTTATCAAGTTGGCAATTAACAAAAGAGCTGATGATTGCTATATTGACTGACTGTGGGTTCTCTTTTTCTATCTGCACTATCTCAGCTGGGGAAGGGAAGGCAGAAGGGTGGGTTAGTGGTATTTATTTATCACTAGGCCATGTTTTGTGTTTGTGTTGCCAGGGGAAGCAAAGGGTGATAATGGCCTGGCAGCCCTTGGACATCCAATTTCCCTTATCAGGCCACTGAATAGAAAAGAGGCCCCAGGCCACATTAATTAACAGATACCAATCAGCTGTCACGTGTTGTGTGTGCAAGGTCTGAGGGGAACAGTGGGCGGGAGGGAAGAATCGATAAACCATTGGGGAGGAGTGCCAGAGGGAACAGCTAAAGAGGAGTCCATGCTACTGAGGAGAAGAGCGGCAAATCCAGCTAGCTCCATGAGCGGGAAACTCTTGTACAGCACAGCCTGTGCTCCACATACCCCCGCTCGTGGTGGATTCCATCCCTTGCTAAAGCTATGAGTGCTGTAGGGATGCCTCCCTCACCCTTTGCCTCAGCCCTCTGCCCCTTACCTCCTTCAGTTCGTACTTTTATTGCTGCTTCTGAATGGAGCTCTCCTGAGCAAAACCAAGCCCAGGCTGATGCAGGGCTCAGGATCCTGTTGTCCTAAGTCTCCCCCTTGCTGCACAGGGAACTGATGGGATTAGCCCTGTGACAGAGGAAACTGCACAGCTGCTGTCACAGCTTCTGACACCTGGAATCTCTCCTCTGCTGCCAACCAAAAACAGTCCTTTGGTCACCTCTCTCCTAGCTCTTAGATTCTTCAGGCCTTATCCTGAAAGGTGCTGAATACTCCATGACCATTCTGAGGCACCCAAAAATGTATCCTGGAACTGCACCATGCTGTTACTGCATAGTCCCTGTCTCTAGCACAGAACTGCGTGCATGTTTCTCTCCTTCTCAGGTGCAGGCTGAGGAAAGCTGCTTTATTTGCAATAGCTGATACGACATTCAGGTTTTTTATTTTTTGTGATTTTTTTTTTTATTTCAATAGTTTGGCAGTGGGAGCTCCCAGAATTAAAAAAAAAAAAAGCCACATAATTTGTGGCAAGTGGAGTTCATAATCTGTTAATTTATTATCATTTCTGTCATCCTGGAGGGCCATTAGCAGAGGTAATAAAGGGAGATGTAATTATAGGATCTGAGGCCACTCCAGACACAGCTGCTGTCACTCCACTTGCCATATTTCATTCTGTGCTAGTACTATCGTCTTCCTAGTGAGAACAGCACTACAGCTACCCTGGGAGAGCTTTCGTCATCACCCCTCGAGAGAAGTCTTGCCTCCCTGCATCAAGGCATGCAGAAAAGGTAGATGTTGTTCAAAGACAATTAGTACAGAGGGTGAGTGAGTGGTGGGGAGGAGGCTTCATACAGAAGGGTACAACTCATGTTAGCTAAAGAGGCTATTGAGCTCTAAGATTTGCTGAACACCATTACATCATGCTTTCTTGTTATCACAGGAGAGTGGCTTTAAGCTTAACTGATTTTATTTGCTAACACTGTGGGGTAGAAGTTTGTATCAACACCTGGGATCCTGAAAAGTTGATTTCACAGCTACGTCACACTGTTCCTTATTAATTCCAGCAAGAATATGAGGCAGGAATATGTGACTTTTGTTCCTCTGTCCATGCTCTCTGCGTCTAAGAGTCTATGTACATAGAAAGCAAAGGGTCCTGTTTCACTCAAGATCCCTGAAAAGCAGAAATATGGGACATGCAGAATCTAGACACCTGGCTCCTGGCCCTGCCCTGCTCTGCCCCCTTGCTGCCTAATGTAGTATGTTTAGTACATGTTTCACAAGTACAGGAGTGCATTTTTGTGAACTGTTTTCCATTATGTTTGATTTTTTGGTACTGCTCCCTGGCATAACAATTCCTGAGCGCTCTCTTGTATACACAGTCCTGCTATAATACTGCTGCTGCTCAGGACTGTGCCAGGCTGATGGCTAATCCTGTCTTGCAGGTGCTTTGATAGGAAAGGAAAATACAGAGAGAAAAGTGAGACAATGGCAGGTGTGTCCTGCCTTTCAGAAAGGAGAGACAGTCCCTTTCACAGTGCAGGTGTCATCTCACTATTACACTTCTGTTCTGGGATAATCACCATGGCAAGCTGGAAAACTGTAGGAACTCAGAGCTGAGCATCCCATGTGCAACCCACAGCTGCAAGCTAGGCAACTGCAGTAAGACACCCTGCACACACAGAAACCGCCAAGTTTAGGAGAACAGACAACAGTGCCTCTCTGATCAGCCAAAGCAGCTAATTGCATTGCATTAATACTATTCCTGTTAACACCCCAAGTGCTGGGTTAGTAGAGCAATCCAGGCTAAGTTCCCTAATCGGCAGTATAAACCCATTTGTGATGAATCAGCCCCAGATGGATTCCAGCACTAGTGAGGAGTGTAATCTCTGCAGATACTGCAGATCTTATCTAAGAAGGGCACCACTGGGATTAACCTCTACTCAAAAACCCTGTCCTCAGAAAGTTTCTCCAGTCTTTATAGACCCACCGCATTACAGTCCCTACTCCATATAGCCCAGGAAGCTACTAACATTTGAATCACAGGAGAAATACTCTCTCTGGGAAAAGACAGGCAGCCACCAAAAAGGCAAGAGAGAGGCTACAGAGAGAAGATAAATATAGGGGAGAACTAAACTATCTGATCGCTCATGCTAAAATGCTTCACAAAAGAAGAAGGAACTTAAAGCTAAGAAGCAACGCAAGAGAATACAGAGACCTATGCAGCAGAAGAACAATGTGCAATATGGTTTAAACCCTGTAGCTAAGCATCAGAAGTTCTCCTGGACGCAAGGAAGGAGGATAGAAGGCAGGAGAAAGCTGTACTGAGCTGTTTGTACAGTATCTCTTCGAAGCAATCTTCTGGAAAGTAGTCATGTAAACCCCAATGACATTCTCTAAGCTCCCTGCCCAACCTTCCCCACATCCAAGTCCAGCCCACCTTTTTTTGATGGGAGAGGAGGGCAGGATTGATGGACACACATGGCAGGGACAGAGGGGGCATTTTCCCTGCCCAGTCTGCATCTTTGTCCCTCAAACATCCTTGAGGGCCATGACTTCTCCTTCAGCCTAGGTCCTATTACTGTGGCATCCTACCTGCAGGTATGAGATTGTTGCTATGTCATTCAATTGCATAGGCACTCTGATTGGTATAGTCAGTCAGCGCTCAGAGGCCAGTCACACTGCCAACAAGTTGTTGTTATTATTTTTCAGCATAGACGCCTGGAGATTCATGGACAATAGTGGGTACATCCTCCATCCCAGTGGGACTTCTTCTGTGATGAATCCAGTGCAGAAAAAGTTGTCCTGCATCTAGGCAAGAATGCCCACTACAAACAAGGTTGATATAAGACAATCTGCCTTGCCATTAGCAGTAAAGTCCAGTCACTGCTGTGACATTTACTCATCTATAAACACAACAGACCCAAGCCATGCAGATGCAGTGCAAAGTCACTGAAGTCCACCTTACAGTTCCAAGGACTGTCCCCTCAACCATTTTCTCTGTGCCACTCAATGCCTGGTACAACTGATTACTTTACTGTAGCATCTCAAAGCCTGCCACATAATCCCAGGGCACATGCATATACAGTCATCAATTTATGCACCTATACCATGTGCTATACTGCAATTTCTGACCAATAAGAGCTCACCACAAGCAGTTTTTTTTGTGCCAGTAATTTTCACCCATCACTATATGTCAAAATCCTGGCTGAAGACAACTTATAAGCACAGTGATAAACAATCAGCTCCCTTTGCCATTCACATTTAGGCTTTGTGATTTCCCCTGTTTACCTGGGATGTGCTTTGCCCAGCCAATGATCACCACCAGTTCCCTGTCTGCCAGGTCGCAGAGGGTTGTTAGGGCTTTGATGTCACTCTCCGGCATGGTTGGATCAGGCATGGCATAAATCTTCTCTGGCTCTGCCACCAGCAAGTGGGAGACGATCTTAGTCACTGCACATTTCAAAGGAGAAGTTGTTGTTGTATCTCTCAGGACATGAGTTGTCATAACAGCCCTTTCTACAAGGGCCTTCCTGGGACAAGACATGGCTAGAGAGGCCACGGGACCTCAGAAGTGGTTTTAGTTGCAACAGGAGGAGACTATATTGCAGCTACACAAGCCGTAGCAATCTTTCTATGCCAAATCAGGTCTGTACAGGGATGACAGAACCAGGAAGCTACTGTAAGGTTGTCAACCACTATCTCATGCAGGTCCAACAACAACAGTAGGAGAAGGTGAGAAACGAATTATCAACTGGTGACCCTTGGAGAAGTTTAGGGAACAGTTGGTGATACGGAATAGAGAAATCAGCACAGGGCCAATTTGGCTAGCAAGGCTTAGATACAGGAAAAGATCAGAAAAATCACGAAATGAATTTATATGGTCTCTTAGGAAAGCTCTGGCATTTAACCTTAGGTACAATAAACATAGTACCCAGGCTCTACCTCGGATGTGCCCAGTTTACCTACATACTATGATCATAAGAAAAAAAATCCTAGTGCTTGTGACTGATACTGGAACTAGAAGTGACAACCACTCCATTGTATGTTTTGGGAAACCAACAATAAAAAGGAGCTGAGTGGTTGCTCAGAGGCCCACAATTCAAGACCAATACATACGTGGCTTTTTAGCTGGTGGAGGGATCTGTAAGCTCAGGTAAGTGCTACTCTCAGAATCCAATCTCCTCTTGTATTTCTGACGGCCTCCACGGACTCGATCCAGACGAACACCTGCAAGTAAAAAAGAAGATGAATCCTCGTGATTCCATAGTGTCACAGGAAACCTTGATGTTCACGTGCTAACATTTGCTGAAAAATAAGTTCCCCGCACTCCACAGAGCTTTCCTCTCCCAGATGCTTGAGAATCTCAGCTGAATCTACCTATCTCAATAATGCCAGATAGACTTCCTCCAGCTCTAACAGTATTGCCATGGGCATTACCTTTCCTCAGAATGAAGACAAAATTAACCCATTCGAACTCTTGCATCATCATCTATCTGATGGGCAAATGAAAACTTCAGACCTTGATGCCCTCCGGACGATATTGTTTTTAAAAAGACATGAAATGTCAATCAAACCTGCAGTTATAAAAATAAGCTTTTAGACTGTTCTTAAAAATGAGCAGTTAAATGTTCTGTGACCTCTCACTGTCTATATTTGAAAAAAGCTACTATAGCAAATGGATTACGAAATATGAATACAACAAAGGTGTTTCAGGTTTTATCAAGTAAGGCAACTGTAATAAAAATAGAACTCAAATAAATAGAAACAACCTCTACAGTAGCGAAGCAACGATAAAGCTGAGCTAGGGAGACACTGAAGAATTTGTTGCAGCTCTTTCAAAATACAGTGAATCAAACTGCAAATAGTACATCAAACAGTACCCAGTGGCTATTCCCATGCAAAATATGATAGCAGCATCAATAACCCATTGAACAAGAAGAGCAGCTGAACTGCTGTATCAGTACAAGATATAATATTAAAAACGAGTTGTGAAAAAAGCCCATAGATATTTGTCCAGTTGTCAGTTATTTCTAGCCATATGGTCTTTTGTAATCAGTTACTGTGAAACTGGGGTAACTCAGTCTTGCTGGGAGAAACAGCCATTACAAAAAGCCTTTCAAGTTAAATGTAGTAGCATTCAAATAAAACAAAATTTTAAATTTGCATATACAAGTACTTCCGTAGAAACATGCATGAGATCCTTGTTAGATCACAGGAACCAACTATATGATACCCTTACTAATCATGCTGAGCCATTGATATTTTGCAATTAATCCACTGCATAAACACAAATAACTAAAAGCAAACACTCCAAACTAGTTTTAACAATGCTTTTTGAACAACTTGTATGTCTGAAAAACCTGCTGACAAATATTCTTCCCCAGAAAAAAAACTCACATCTGTCAGTTATACTGCACATTTCAAACTAATGCCAGGTTTACTATGGCATTACTACACTTACTGTGCCACTGAAAGGAGCACTCTCGTACTGATGGGCTCATACCAGCCCCCAGTTGCACTATTACTTGCTGCAGCACCTGGATCCTGGCACTCTTCACAGCTGGAGCATCCAAATCATCATGATCAACAAGCAGTACCAATAGTCCCACAACAATAAGAATAACCAATACCCAAAGGGCAACAGCACTCAGTGATAGAGCCTGTCAGCAAGGTCTCTGTGGCAGCACCCATATGGCAATCTAGGTGACATTACCTTTAAGCTATGGTGTATTGGGTCAGAAGCTCATAGGCATGATGTTATTAATGCCGTACAGCTGCTTCCTTTTCAGATTCCTGAAGCCGGGAGCTCTCCAGAGCAGAGGAACTGCTGCTGGAAGTGGCTGCTATTGGAGGATGACAGATAAGGGAAAACGGAGAGACAGACTTGAAGCAGAGTGCGTGATCTCAGATCAAACTGAGTTTTTTTTCCTTCCCCAGGCACATTTTCTTTCTTACTCAGTGAGAAGAATTCACCAGCCTCCCTGAGCGCAGGTACCACCTCCCTCCTCCATTACATTGCAGTATTTCTGAAAAATGTTGCCCACTGTTTGCTTCTTTTAGCTCCATCCCTAGCAGCAGGGAGCCTGTGGGCAAGACTTCTTCCTGGGAACCCCAGCAGGTTTCAGGGAGCGATTTCAGAAAGGGCAGCCAGGGAGTCCCACACCTAAAGTTATCTAGGGAGATCCCTGAGGAACAGCACTAAGTCCTGAATTAGGCAGGAGACCTTCATTTCCGCCCTGTGATTTCTTTCTCTCTATAAATGTGCACTGGTTTCACAAGAAAGAAGACCTCCACACCATGCCCCACTGAATAAATGACATCTACCTATAGCCAGGAACAGAGGGAGAGACACAAATTCCAGAAAGTGACAGAATACCAAGTAACCGGGTATGAAAATGAAAAGGGTCAGGAATACACCATTTAAAGACTACAGAAGAACCCAGAAAGGGCTGCAGAACTTCAGTCCTGAATCACAGCTTCCCAGAACCCCCATAGAAGGATCATAGGGAAATCCATTCCCTCTTACCAGGATGTCATTGGAACAGGGAGACACCCGTTCTCAGCCCAGGAGAAACCAGCACACAGCTCTCCAGAATGCACTTGCTGTGCAGTTTGATAAGCAGTGGAGAGTGGGAGACTGGGAGAGGTAGGGAGGAAATAGGGGAAGGAATTCTCTTTCCACTCCCAAGGATAGAGAGACAAACAGGCAGGCCATCTCCAGTGCTTGGCAGAGGGAGGACTGCACAGGTTGCAGCAGTATTAGGGACCCTCAATCAGATTATAAGGACACAAAGGACTTAAGTGCATTAAAAAAGATAAGAGAGACGCAGGGAGATTTACCCTCCATCCCTCCTTCCTTCACTGAGCAGATAGAGGTCTCTTCGCCCAAGGACTTTGGCATGTTAATTTTGAACAAGTATCTGTCCTCCTCTTGTTCCCCATCCTGTGTGACACTCCTTGAGGCAAATGTTTTCAATCAGCATTTGCAAAGCCACTCTTCTACCCTGTCGTCATCAGCTCCAGCCTTAGAGCTGGTGAATAGGCTGACCTCTGTGTAGTGTGTCCCAGTGCCAGTTGCTGAATGCAACGACCCCCAGGTGCTAAGCAAACAAAGGCATTTCAACCTTCAAGTCCCTGACTGTGACACTCCAGAGATGAGCCCTTCCCCAAATATCTGATAACCTAAAGGGTCATATTAAATGGCAGGCAAGGGCACAGCCAAAAATCAGGATCTGATACTCAGCTGCGGCTTTCAGGAGGCTTCTAAATGCCTGCTGCTTTACTTTGATTTGCTCAGTGGCTGATTTTAAGATAGCACAGGAGGACTGTTACAATGCAGTTCTGAGAGGGACATGAAAAGGGAGTGGGGAATCACAGTGAGTGAGGTCAGGGAAACAGCATGGAGGAAAGCAGCAAGTGGAGAAAGAAACAGAGGGGGATGTAAACTGAGATATGAATGAAAGAGAGGCGTGAGGAGAAGGGAGATGAGAGAGGCAGGGCCTAGAGCAAGGTGGAGTGGTACATAGATTGCATTCCCAAGGGCAGATTTCACACCAACTGTGCAGCCACCTGAGGTTTAACCACAAGGTGCAATGCTCACTTATGAAACGCAGCCAGTCCTTACCTAAGAATCTCATATAGGATTTGCTGCCATTAGCCTGCTATCAAAACAACAGCAAGACAAAGCAGTTGCCCTCCAGCTCCTGCAAAAAAACATTTCTCACATAGACCGTAACTGGCCAGTTCCCAGAAGAGAAGGCACTCACCCTGCAAAACTATCACCACCGTGGGCACTCCTGGACCCCCCCCCCCCTTTTGACAATGTCAGTAGAGAGACAGGGACTGCTACAGCAGCAGAGGAGGGAGGACTCCTTCATGCACACTGTGAGGTGCAACAGTATAGGGCAAAGTTTGAGGAGTACCACCTCGTGCTAACCCACCTTTAGGGAAGTTGCAAGGAAATGCTGGTTGTTCAATGCTATCACATCTTGGGAGACCCCCATGTGGGCGCCCTGCCACCCATCTGACGTAGGCATAGAGCTGGCCGCTGTGGCAGCAGTATGTATTGAGCGCCGATACACCTGCAGCGTGCTCTCAGCTCCCCAGGCTGCTGGAGCCCACCAGGACCTAGCAGAAAGGACGGCAGGGGCCAGGACTTGGGCAGGACTTTCCAGCTCACCATCCTGCCTGGGGTAGGGCTGTCAGTTTTCTAAGTGTCCTGTTGGTGCCACTAGTGTTCCGAGTGCTCTTGCAAAGAGGTCTGTGCCAGCACCAAGCCTCTGCAGTGGGAGAGCTGATCTGCTGATCTGTTCAAGCTCCCTGCATTTCTCTGACATGCCCCTAAGAGAGATATCTGCCCGACAAGTTTGGGATCAGATGTCCCCTTGCTGACTTGATAACATCAGGCTTTAGGGTTTTTTTCTTAATGGAAGTAAAATAATTCCAGCTTTTTTTAAAAGCTGGACCCAGGCCCAGTCTGTCGGAAGTAAAAATAGCCGACTGTGCAGAGGCGACAGCACACAGAGTCAGGTTTAGTTTCTCTTTTATTTTCTGGGGACTAAAAATACTCTTAAAAGCTCTGTGAAGCTAAGCCCTGGCCAGTGGGAAACGCAGTCTAGGCCCAATATCAGCTGTCGTGTCAAATTACTAGCCTCACCTCACTTTCCATCGAATCCTATCACATGCTCATGAATTGATAGGAACACAAAGATCCATCTCGCCAGAAGAGCTAGCAGAGGAGCCAAACTACAGGGCTAGCACAGTACAAAACGTGTCCAGACTGAGAAGGGCACACCTGAAGGGAACAAAGGGCAAGTGCTCCCCAGGGACCAATGCCCCCGGGGCTGCTCTTGCCTAGCTCCCCCAAGATATACAACTCATGTCCTATACCTGCTGCCCATTTACATGTTGAGTTGCAGCTTCTGCACCAATGCAGCCTGATTGCTCTCCCAGGGCCTGAGCTGGGGTGGTGCTCTGCAGGTAATAGAGTTGTCCCTTTCCTCTTGAGCTGCAGTCTAAAGTACATGGATTGGCAATGCCAAAGGAAGCTGGATGGGGTAGGCTGACAGCCAGGAAGAAAGGAAGGGAGAAGCATTGCGCCCAAGCTGTCTCCTGCAGAATTACCCTCTCTCCTTTTGCTCTGAACTTCAGGAGACAACAGGATGTGACAATGGGACAAGTGAGCCAGGAGCAGGCATGTCAAGGAAACAGATAGTCAAAGTGACCAT